TAGTGATTTCTTTCTCCGGATACCAGGTGGGTTTAATTTAAAAAATTACTATGCCTTAAAAGTTATTACTATTTATTTGCGGTATGATCAAAGTATGCATGTGAATTGTGTAGCTTTCGGTGTGAGCTGTACCGGCCATCGAACGGTTATCCCCTTGTTAAGAATCCCCCCTAAGACTCACGGTGGGCCATATCGATGTAAGTCACATGGCGATGCCTTCGATATATTTATTCGATGTAAGTCATATGGCGATGCTTTCGAAATGAATGTCGATGTAAGACAAATGGCGATGCCTTCGACATGTACTCCTACGATCTAGTTGACGATGTAAGACACATGGCAATGCCTTCGAAGATGCTAGTTGTAGCTAATGATAGGTGTGTACACATGAATATTGAATATTCATTATTGATTATTGATATTATTGATGGGAAATGGGATAGATTATTGCTTCGTATACATGCTGAGACCATATCTTTCGGTTACTCATTATTGTTGATTATTGTCATTAACATTTATCGCATAGCAATGAGCACTATTGTTTCCTTTTGTGCTCATTCCCACCTGCTCTTCATGGACGCAGGTTAGTGTTACGGGCACGACCGAGAGAAGCGAGTGTGGTCATAATAAATTATTACTTCTTCCGCTTGAAACTGAATTATTGTTTTGTTCAATTTCTGGATTATTGTTAGGGAATGTTTTTCCTAGAATTTTATGAGTATTGGTTATTGAACTGAGTTTTGGATTATTGATTATTGATAAATGAATAATGAGGACTGAGTATTGATGATTGGTTAAATCTGATATTGTTTCGAAAATGAGTAGCGCTTCAAGTGTTTTTGATAATAAATTTCGAAAAATTTATCTTGAAATTTGGAAAATAAAAGTAGGGCGTTACAATGATTCGTTGCGAAAGTATGTTGCTCGACACAATTAGACGTTTTTGGAGATTCCGTCGGCTTCGGACGAGGTCAAGGTGGGTGGACTAATAAGGAGTTTACGAGCGAGGCCCTGTCGAACTTCCTTGGCAAAAACCTCTGCTCGTACATATGACGAGGTCCTGAAGCGGTGTAAGAAGTATATTAACCTTGAGGAGACTGAAGATGAGTTTCCTAAGTTGGAGGAGATGGCTCGCCTAGAGTCAAAGAGAGGGAAGCAAACTCACCTAGTAGGAGTTCGCCGAGAAGAGGATCACCCAGAAGGTAGTAGGTAGGATCGGCTCGATGAAATTGACAGCCATACGAACTGACGTAAGGATAGGTGGAACGATCGACCTACTGCAGAAGGCAAGAGGTTCCATAATTTCACGTCATTAAACGCTATAGTCGGGTAGGTGCTGGTTGTTATTGAGAAGAAGATAGATGACAGAGATGTGACGTGGCCAAATTCTAAATTCGAAAGGGCCAACTCAGCCAAAGTCAAGAAGATATTGTCGATTTCATAAGTAACCTTCATGGTTGTTAAAACACACGCCATTCATAGAAAAGAAAGGGGACTCCCAATTTATGTGAGAAAAATATAGTTCTTCTTTAAGAGAAAATTCAGATAAAACCGAGAGGTCTTAGAAAAAGAAAAATGAGAGACTTTGAGAAATCTAATATATCGCTCCACAATGATTAATTGAAGATCGTGAAGGTCATACAATAAAAGATTATAGGTTGTTTATTCATATGTCGACGAGCTTATTAGTATCCAAGCATCGAATATATTTATCCCGCAGCTTTCGGCGACCACCCGATGCACCCGGCGACCCAGGAGAAGCCCGATGACGACTAACCCTGTTCAGCCTTTTGTGGTCGTGTATTGGTACCCAAGACTGCACAACTCATGCAAATCCATGGTGCAACTCCAACTACCCCAGATACCCGTGGACGGTCACGCGTGACTGCGCTGGCAACCTATTGCATCGTCGTGCGCAGGCAAACAGCGCCCAATCCCTGCCTAGCAATATTCACGCGCACCGCCTGCGCACGCCATGTGTTCTTCATGCGACGGCGATAGCCCTCCAGTGTGCGACCCGCGCGTTTCTGCGGCGACCTGATTAGAGATCCGCGATGCAGAAGCGAGACCTGTGTGCCGCAGATGCAACCTGAGCAAGATCCGCGAAGTATATGTAACCCCAGTGATGATTCGCGTGCCCCTGTGTGGCCCAAAAGCGCGCCCATGCGCCCGTACGTGAAGGCCACCTGCAGCAAGTCATTCCTCGCGACCCAGCGACCTGAAGCAGCCTATACGGATGCAGCCTCGACCAAGCGAGTCATTCCTCGTGCCCGTGATCAGACCCGGTCCAACCTGGGTCAGCTCAACCCAACAGCACCAGCTCATGTCCAAGGCGGTCTTTGAGCGGTCCAAACTGTCCGACTAACCCACCAAAGGTCCGAGACGATCCGACAAGCCCGATTAGCTGCCGGGGATGCTTTGATAAGGCCAAGTACATCTACCTAGCAGACTCTACGGTTCAGACGATCTCCTAAAACAGAAGACAGAAATGTCTCAGAGTCGGAAAAAAAATTTAAACTATTAGTCATAATTCCAACTATAGATTTTTCTGCTTTAGGATTTAAACCTAATAAATTCAAATGTGCATATCGATGACGTTCCTCATAAAACCCAACATATACTTTATACGTAGAACCAAAAAATAAAAGTAATCGACATTCAAGTACAAGTACGAGGATCTATGGTCGATTATGACAGATTTTGCATTGTTCGAGTGCACATCAACCACGCGAAACACATTTTTATCTCATTGGCAATCAGATGCACAACTCGTATATGTTCACCTTACCCAAAACAATCTATTTTTTCCATTAATTTAATCGATGAAATGCTAGTGGTGGTTCGTCATTACAACGACCATTAAGTATTAAAAAAATCAAAATTTAAGAGAAAAAAGGAGGAGACATATCAGTAGTTATAAAAACAATGAAAGAGAAAAATGAAAAATTTAGAGAGATGATAATGAGCTCAACAATGAAGAAAAATCACGACAGTAGGCCAACAAAGTGGTTGGATTTTGCAGGGGTATGGCATATTTCCATGAGATGAATCAAAAAATTGAAATTCAAAATGAAAAAAAAAAAATAAGAATTACGAAAATAATTTGTTGAGACCATCACCTATGAACAAAGGGGAAAAAAAAAATGAATTATGTATGTGAGTTTCATACAAGATAACTATCCTCGTGATATTTTGAAAATGAGAAAAAAAATAAAGAAGAGTT